GTTGCATTAGATGAAACTAGTTCAATCTATTGTACAAGCAAATCTAACATTGAAATTCCACAATCTTAGTTGTAAAATATAAAGGTATATTTTATATATATTTGTTGAAAAAATCGTTGTTTCGAATACATAATTTTCCTGCTACGTTACATGTCGCTCTATTTTGATTCGATTAGGCATACTTACGGGCTCCATGAACCGGAAGTGGTCACCGGAAGTACGAAAAGTTTCTTGGCTGTAGCTGTATGATTCAGTGATGGAATCAGTTTGGTTGGATCAGATCTAATTTCATCCACATTTTTTCTGCTATATCCAAACAATCTTAAGAATTTATTGCACGCATTCTAAAAGAAAAGAAAAAGAAATGCAGTTCATTCACAACGCTTTTTGCGATATGTGTGTGGTTGTATATCGCGGGCGTATAAACCCCGGTATGTGCTCCTCGTGTCAGTCTTTTGAGGACCAGTAATCTTTTAAGAAATTAATTAAGTGCAATAACATGAAATATAGTTGAACAATAAATTGATTTCGTTGTGGCTATTTATATTGATAAAAAGACATCAAACTGACCAACAGAGTTGTCTCCCCTAATGGTAATAATGTTTGTGTATAGTGTCATTTACTGAACACGAGAGATATTTATAAGACCCTGTATCGCTACAAATAAATGTTTTATTTTAAGCAAAAATAAAAATGAAAATAAAAATGACAGTATATTAGTTTTGTTCGCTCAACGATTCGTTTAATGGGAAAAGCTCATGGGTAACAAAACAAAAATTTAAAAAAATATAACTTGTTTTTTTACGTTTTTTTAAAACAACGTTGTATTTAAACTCGCCCTATTGAGCATGTCCAGCAGTCAGCGATTGTACGGCTGTTGTACCGGTAGCTTACCGGGACGGATTATTGGTGGATCAGGGTGGATCAGGGATGGATTAGGGATGTTTAGTGTGGATGTACGTGCAGCTGCTCTCTAACGTATGATGCTACTGCATCGTAATTGACCGGGCCCTGATCCCTGGTCACGTGTCCAGATAACGGGCACGGTCTCGAGAAGATTGCGTAAATCATAAATTAATTAAAAACATAACAATTATCATAAATTGTACTATGTATCGGTTCTCTCAGTTTGCTTAGAATTGAAATGCCAATAATAAAACCGCAACTTCCAAATACTCATCTGGTCGAGAAACACTCGGGGGACCGAGGAACATTACGACATTGACGGATAGATAATCTTTATGGCATGTGAACATTTAAAACGATTGCGGTATTAGCGGTGATTTTAATTAGAGTAGTCTTTACTCGATCTGAAATCGAAGCCTAAAGACTATTGACTTACATCTGACATAAAGACATGAGCGACACCTATTCTGGTGGCCCGCCTCTGCCGGCGACTCGTATAGATCTAACTGCCTTTGTGGTTGAGGGGCCTAATCCCTCCGTTCACCACCGAAGCACAGGCGCTAAAAAGCAATAAAATGCACAATCAAGTCACTATTGTTTCTTTCCGGAAGTAAATAAATTAATCAAGTTTCCCGCGCCTGGCGCAGCCTCCGCAGCACTGAGACAGTGCCGGTAATCTGTGACAGACAATATTGGACCGAGCCGTATGTACAGGCACTGTCAGCTTACTTATCGATACGGGAATATCCTCAGTTCTCACTGAAGTGGGCGATCTGGTTTAACTTTACTTACACCTACATTGCAAACAGTTTGAGTTGCTGAAACCATTTCAATTTCCTCATAATCATCTTTATAGTTGTCCGTGCCAATTAACAAAGAATACGCCAAAGCTAACCCACCCGGTATCCGAGCTATACTATTGGACAGGCCGTGGTAAGGAATCGGTGCGCGGGTGATCCAGTGTTCTCTTAATTAAAACTCCACAAATAAATTACGCAAAGATAAAAGAGACTCGTCATGAATGTATCTCTATCATTGTCTAAGTGTCGGAGTCATCCGGGCGGCCATAATCCGGAGATTACCGATCGCTTATCCCGCTTACATGACGTGACTTGTACACGTTTTTTGGTGTCTGATTGGCAAAGTTCACACGAAAATGTAAGTGTGAAGTTGATGTTTCTGTTAGGGGAGTTTCGTGGACAACCAAGTAGAAGAGAGGAACATCTAGCTGATATATTCTATAGGAAACGGATACGTGAGTTAGTATCACGTACAATGACATACGTGATGTTCAGTATACCATATGGAGTAAACGTAACTGTAGCTTGCTGTGTCACTGATATACCTTATCGTCGAAGTTCCCTAAAGTTAACGCAGAAATGATCAATCTGGTATCATTTTGTTAATACATTTCCTGATAAAGGCGAGAAAAATGAAGAAAATAAATCGTACAGTGGTACACAACACATAACTATGGCAAACCAACTTAACAATTATTACTTAAACGCGATATCCGTATTGATATAAAAGAGATATCGTATACTCAATAGAACTATTTCATATAATCTTAGTAAATGATATTTTTTAAACATTTAGTATATGTTTAATTAAATCAGAGATATCTTTAATTTATTGAAACATATCTCTTTATCTATTATTCTTTATAGATATCTCATTTAGAGATATTTCAAGTTGAATTACAATTCTCTTACATCTAAACATATCTATTTTCTTTCAAAGGTAACTCATTTTATACTGGATATATTTGAAAAAGATTTTTGTTCATTGATATATAGATATCCCTACTAAGTCGTGTTTGAAAGATATTTTAATTCAAACGATGACCCGACCACAGGTATGATATAAATATTGATGACACGATGACAAGGTAACTAAGTTCAATCCGTATTCCATATTGTTAAAAATATCATGCATAAAATAAATTAGAAATATTAAACACTACATGTATACCGTCTGAAAACATAAAAGATATCTTTTAATATTTTATAACATATATTGATTACTTAATATAACTTATACATTGTCTATACAATATCTACATGTATCTCATATAATACACGGTATGTTAGATATTCTGATAAGATATCTTATAAACGAAGTACGATATATTATATATTAGAAAATATTTTGTTAAATATAAGATATAGCCTTTATAAGTTTCTTTTTAGGACACGTGTATCTTATATAAATGCGGTTATAGGATATATTATTATAGAACGATATTTGACTTGAATTTGTCGGAGTATAGTAATGATGTTTAGGCTGAAATTTACAGTGTTTTGTTTATGATTGTTCACTAACAGGTGTGTAAAACAAGGTGTTCACTTACAGGTGTGTAAAACAAGGTGTCTAACTTACAGGTGTGTAAAACAAGGTGTCTAACTTACAGGGGTGCAAAACAAGGTGTTCACTTACAGTTGTGTAAAACAAGGTGTTTTACTTACAGGTGTGTAAAACAAGGTGTTCACTTACAGGTGTGTAAAACAAGGTGTCTCATTTATAGGTGTGGAAAACAAGGTGTTCACTTACAGGTGTGGCAAACAAGGTGTTCACTTACAGGTGTGGCAAACAAAGTGTCTAACTTACAGGTGTGTAAAACAAGGTGTCTAACTTACAGGTGTGGCAAACAAGGTGTTCACTTACAGGTGTGTAAAACAAGGTGTCTAACTTACAGGTGTGGAAAACAAGGTGTTCACTTACAGGTGGGTAAAACAAGGTGTCTCATTTATAGGTGTGGAAAACAAGGTGTTCACTTACAGGTGTGTAAAACAAGGTGTCTCATTTATAGGTGTGGAAAACAAGGTGTCTCATTTACAGGTGTGGAAAACAAGGTGTCTCACTTACAGGTGTGGCAAACAAAGTGTCTAACCTACAGGTGTGTAAAACAAGGTGTCTAACTTACAGGTGTGTACAACAAGGTGTCTAACTTACAGGTGTGTAAAACAAGGTGTCTAACTTACAAGTGTTGAAAACAAGGTGTCTTACTTACAGGTGTTGAAAACAAGGTGTCTTCCTTACAGGTGTGTAAAACAAGGTGTTCACTTACAGGTGTGGAAAACAAGATGTCTAACTTACAGGTGTGGAAAACAAGGTGTCTCACTTACAGTTGTGGAAAACAAGGTGTTCACTTACAGGTGTTGAAAACAAGGTGTCTAACTTACAGGTTTGGAAAACAAGGTGTCTTACTTACAGGTGTGTAAAACAAAGTGTCTTACTAACAGGTGTGGAAAACAAGGTGTCTTACTTATAGGTGTTGAAAACAAGGTGTCTTACTTACAGGTGTGGAATACAAGAGAGTTCACTTACAGGTGTGTAAAACAAGGTGTCTCATTTACAGGTTTGGAAAACAAGGTGTTTACTTACAGGTGTGGAAAACAAGGTGTCTCACTTACAGGTGTGGAAAACAAGAGAGTTCGCTTACAGGTGTGTAAAACAAAGAGTCTCACTTACAGGTGTGGAAAACAAGGTTTCTCACTTACAGGTGTGAAAAACAAGGTGTCTCACTTACAGGTGTGGAAAACAAAGTGTTCACTTACAGGTGTGTAAAACAAGGTGTCTCACTTACAGGTGTGGAAAACAAGGTGTTCACTTACAGGTGTGGCAAACAAGGTGTCTAACTTACAGGTTTGGAAAACAAAATGTCTAACTTACAGGTGTGGAAAACAGTGTGTTCACTTACAGGTGTGGAAAATAAGGTGTTCACTTACAGGTGTGTAAAACAAAGTATCTAACTTACAGGTGTGGAAAACAATGTGTCTAACTTACAGGTATGTAAAACACGATGTCTCACTTACAGGTATGGAAAACAAGGAGTCTCAATGACAGGTGTGTAAAACAAGGTGTCTCACTTACAGGTGTGGAAAACAGGATGTTTCACTTTATTTTGTGCAAAAATGCGTTTCTTTAAATGCAAATATTGAAAAAAAAAGATGTTTTACTTACAGATGTTGGGAAAAAGTTTCACTCACATGTGTTGGATCTCGCTTTTTAGAGGTGATCAAACATATCTTAATTAAAGAAAACAGTTTTCATCATCTGGGATTTTATTTGGTACAATTAAACATGTCACGATAAAAGGAAAAACAGCTTTATTGACAAATACAATATGGTTAGGGTTACATTTGATATATAAACGTTCGTTAGGAAAAATATATTAAGACTGCTGTATCAAATGTTTCACTCTAAACAAGAAAGTTGGAAGTGCTTAGGAAAACACAGTAAACAAAACCAGAGACGGCATTATTTTTGGGCAAGCTCACTATTATTTAAGGTTTAAATAGCATCTACATAAATGAAGTGAAAAATGCTATCTTACATTATTAAACCAAAATGAAAACAATCATTTTCAAGTGAAATATATTTGGAATTTAAAACATTCTATTAGACACAAATCACCATTACATATCTCAAAGTCACAGACACTTGTACCCACAAACACAAAATGATTAAATAATATAATACAAATTAATTAAAAACCAAGTGATTGAAGAATAAAAAAACCCGACTGAATCACTGAATCTATAAAATGAGATATTTTGAAGCACACAGAGAAATGGCATTCAACAAAACCCTGTTAGTTCTTATCCTAATTATCACATTTTGTGACTCTTATTTTTGAAAATTGTTGTTTTTCCATGCTTTGCTGGATATTCCTAGTTTCGGAAATATGTCAGGTTTTAAATTAGTTATTTACTTCAATTGGAACTCGACAATTAAAAAAAACCCAATTAAAATGCCTTTTTGCCACAATTGGCTATCCTCTCCAAGCTAGGTAACATCGGTCCTTGTTGAATAAATTGTTGCAGGGGAAGAAACTCCCGCAAGTAAAAGCAGAATGATCCCCCTTCCCGTACCACTAGTGAGCGAAAATTCTACAGATAAGTAACAGTGGCATAAGAATAAAACTAATAGTCTCAAACTCAGTTTCGGCCCAGTTACACTTAGTCGAGTAGCTATGCCACGAGTTCTTGCATGTGGAAATAAATGACGACGATAAACCAACTCGTAAATGGGACTCCTCTTTATTGTGAAATGTAAGAACAAAACGTTATCCTTACTTTATACCTAATCAACACAAATGAGATACAAATCACATGTGCTTACTACCCGAACTAATGACAACCGAGAATAAAGTTCAGAATATTTATAAATGCCGACAGAAACTCGCCGCCCAGCCTCTCCACATAATATAGTACTGGTCGTGAATATCATAGGATACCATTGTCATTCCAGTTACTGACCTGATGACATGAAGACTTATATAACACAAAGAGATATAGTGCAGACTCGATCAACAAGAGCGCTAAATACCAGGATAACTTGGGGTTGTGATTTCGACAGTTCATTACTCGTGCCATCAACAGTTACACATGACTTCGTGTGGAAAGGAATAAGGCGAATTAAAAACCATAAATAGCGGATATCGGGAATTTGAATAGATTTCAGCTTCTAAAGAATACAACATCTCTACATTGAACCTGGCCTGTTGTTAATATTTATATTGGTCGTCTTTTCAAAAGGTTTGATATCCGTAGTTGTTCATACAACATCGCACTAACATGAAATACATAGGAAAGTTCCGTGTGTTACGTGTTGTATACAGTCATCGCTATACACATATTGACACTCGTAGACTACTTAAAGGTAGAGTAAACTTGTATTATGTACATATAAAATTCAGATATGTAGAAAAGTTAAAACACATTCAAAAGTTGTCCTGTAAACACGGCGCTTAGAGATACAACCGTATGCCAAATTGATACTTAGAAAGGTGTTTTTATCTGCGTCTTTATGATCTACTGGCTCTCCGGGACGGCCGTCTGGACGGGAGCTATAGTACAATGGGAATTGAACATGCCACACTGGTAGTGGTCCTGATCGTCGGGTACACCAAGACATATGAAGCAAAACTTCTGTCCGCATATACAAACCATGTGCTTGCACGCTTTCTCGTGTTGTATCAGCATACCACAATTCGGACAAGCCCTGATGGACGGACATCCTTTCAGACCAACGACCTCCTTGACAGAAGCCTCCTTCAATATCTTTAGTCTGGGGTCCTCGCCTGTGCAGGCCGTGTTCCCACAGCTAGTGGTGTTGAAGGTCTTCCAGTCACCCAGGCAATACCAACAGAACTCGTATCTAGTGCTCTTACTGCACGACAGACACACCACGCGCCGGTCCTTGAGGTTGACCCTCATACAGAAGACAGAACACTGAGGACATTCCTGTATACCGGCCGACTTTCTCATATAGTTCTGTGACATTTTCGTCTCAAATTCTTTCGTCTCTTCCTCTGTGAGAACGGCAAGCCGGCGAACAATGAAGTACTCCCAGGACTGTCCACAGTACGTTCCATTGTCATGGTCTATGTACGGACAGTAGAACTGGAACTTACCCGCCGTCAGCAGACTCCGGCAGTACGCTGTCAGGGACTCTGGACCTGGTGAAACAATGAAACAATGAACACACAATAACATACCGAACATTGTAACTGTCGACGTGAAATGAACATAAACAATTATGTACACGGACACTTGTAACAAATTATCAGCGCCGTCATGGGCATCTTCGGTCCTTCCGCCCATGTATAATAGTGATAAAGTACCGTATTGGTATTTCAAAGTTTGCTTGATAACTTGTTTTTTATGTCGCTGTTAGAGTGAAACCCTTGACGAGTGTCCAATAACTTAGCTCGTCTGCCCACTTGGCCCTTGTTGTTACTCATTCAAGATTGTTACATGACCCTCTATATAATTGCATATATAAAGCACTTTCGGCTGTCTTCCACTTAGCATTACTAAACGTAACATTCCAATGTTCGCTATCGCACGACTGTTGACTGGTCACGTGATAAAATGGTGTTTGCTGCATTACGGCTGTTTGACTGGTGTGACCGAACGCACCTATTTTTCAAACACTGTTTCCTTTGGCCTCAGCCTCGGGAAACTTTGGTAGCAAAAGGTACGATATACCTACTAACCATTGGTTAGCGAAGATGGTGGGTCCCAACTCATCGGGAAAATAGTTTTATAAAATTGGTTTTGGGACTGGTCTGCATAACATTTATCACAAACGTTTCCTGAGCTGAATTAATCGAAAATGTATGAGTTGTGCAAAAGAATTCAAGGCGTTTTTTAATATCAATTTAGTGACTACAATCGAAACCAACAGATGCTCTGGATTTTTTTTTTAAGTTAGCTAATTGCTTGTAGCATCACTTCATTATAAATATATCAACTTCTTGTTGTTTATACCTCAATTGATTCCCATTAGACAGCGATTGTCGCACTCAGAGCCTCCGAACTAAATACGGTGAAGGGGAAATAACTCTGACAAAAAACAACAACAAAACTCATGTCAGTCTCAATCCCTCCATTGTCACCTCCGATCAAAAATATAACAACCATCATTTTAAGAACTTAACAACAAATTCATTCACAAAGCCACAATTTCCACTCAATATAAAATCAAGTCCTAGATGAATTGATATGTACATTTAAACCAGACAGACTTTCCAGCAAAACAGTACTACCTCTACACTCCAAAGACACGAGAACAATCTCACGAAAGTGTCACTAGCTATCATAAACAAAACTATATTACAACAACTACAACTAGAATCAGACAGACGTAACGTCAGATGTTGACGCACATACGAAAAGTCGCGGATTTCGCTACATCAGCGCTATATAAAATCTTAATAAGGATCAAATATATATGTTATTATATACCATCTTATTCAGATTTTTTTTATCTACCTTAATATTTCATTAGAATATATAAAAGTTTCGAGTGCAACCTAATAATCACCGATATAACGTCAAAATTCGCCATTACTCCAATGTAATGTGTAACATAAACGGGTTACGCGTTTAAATAAATGAATATTTAAAAGTAAAATATGGGCCCATTCTGCAGATGTTTCAATTTTAAAGCTATATAACAATGTTTTCTTGAATAACATGATACTTGAAAGTCGATATCATTTTTGAAAGTTGCAAAAAATACATGAAACCCACTTGTATCATTTGTGTAATGTTTTTA